CATTTATTGAAGAGAAGATTGGTGTAGTATGGGAAAAAATATTCCTCGAAGCTTTTAAATTATGAAAATAGATGAATAAGACCACACTGGAAGTCGAAGAAAAACTATTGAAATGTCAACAATATGTTTCAGAAATTGCTGCACCTAACCTAAAATAGAGCAATAGTCTTTTTTGTTTAAAATCTTGCTTTATATAAAATTTAGTACAACATATTTAAAATAAAATGGAGCAGTGTGCAGCGAAAAGGCGTAAAACTCATAAATTGAGCAGTTTTTGGAATTTCTTCTGCTTTGATATAATTTAAGACCGTATTAAAAGGTTTTTCGAAAGGATTAAATGGTTATAAATATCCAACATGAATGGAAATATTTGGTGGTATGAGCATAACTAAAGATCTGAAAAGGTTAAAATTTTTGAAAGACGTGAGATGATGGCAATGGGCTGGGATGCTTAATTAAGGAGTCCTCCAACTATCAATGTCCTTCTTTCAATCCCAATGCGTTTAAGCATAGGAGGAGAGAATTAATGATTATATAATACTAGACCTGATGTGCGTTTGCAAAAAAACATTTTAATCTTTTAAAATGGATTAGTCACAAATCCATTACACTTATTTGGATATTAATTGAACAACAAGGGTGACACCCAGCCCATTTCAAAAGATCGTAATATCTGAACATTGTGTAAGTATGCGATAAATTAGCGTTACACCATTCACTTTGAGGGCAAATTTGATCCACTGAAGGTAATTCTGGAAACTTATGCCTATCACGTGATTGGCCTATTAATATCCCGCCGTATTTTTTCTATCGCGAGATATTCGAATGCTTCAAGTTGTTTAGGATGTTTGATTTTTACTAATCACTATTTATTTTCCATTAAAAAGCAATTTGCCTGCTGCAGATAGCGACATTGTCAACTCTTAGCTTCATAAATAAAAAATGGGAGTGGCATCACCGTCCAACCATTCGAAATTAGTAAATTCGAACCTCTGCCAAATAAATATCAACTACCACCCAGAATGTATTTATTCATTTCAAATGGCAGGCGTTTTGATAGATATCATTAGCAATTTAGCTGACTTCAGGCTTCACAGAGGGAAGATTCATCAAAGTAGCAGAAAGTCGAGGGGTGGGGAACAGAAGAGTGATTTATAGATGTAAAAGAGACAGGCACAAAGGCAGAGAAAAGGTAGAATGAGTACTATTGAAGTGGTAGAATATGACGTACAGTGGAGTGATGGTAGTCTGAAGTCAACTGCCAGTTAACAGACTCTTTTGTGGTATTAGTATATGTTGTCCAGGGTGCACCACGTGGAGGTAATTCTATCGCACACCCCATTGTCTTTAGGAATTAATAAGCTGGAAGACAATATCGCCCTATGTAAGAGCAAATTTAGAATTGTTTATTTTATTATAATGATGGACAAGTAAGAAACCAGATTAGTTTGCTAAATAAAACGCCCAGTAAAGTTAATTAATATTGAATTAATTAACGTCAACCAATTATTATTATAGCTTGCATTAAAGCTAGTATTAATTCTAGATCACAAAAATTGAATTGACAAAATAAACTTTTTGGGAATTTTAATGATTTACGATGAATAATAATTTTGGTAAGCTACTTTATTTTATGCAATTCCTCATAAATTTTGAATTTTATTGTAATTGAATCATCTGGTAAAATTATGCCGTTATTTCTCACAAACAATAATTCGAGGAATGCCAACCTAACCTCAGAATTTAATCAAGCCCCACAATTCTATTTTTTATTCTAAATTTCAAAGTTTGAAAGTAAACATGCAATTGAAATATGAGTTCCTGAGCTCATGTAAATCGAGTTTCTCAGTCTGAAATCTCGAGTTAAATTGCCACAATTCCCATTGTGGCCCATTTAGGATACAGACCGATTAACTGCATTTGTGAACAGGCAGTTGGCTTCAAGTTTCTCTCCACCAAAAAAATCCACCAATTTTTTAATCCCAGAAAGACGAACGAAATGTACCACTTTCGACTTCTTACAATTCATACCGTTCTGTGCCCAGTACGTCAAAGGAAGCGATAAAAACGTCCCCTTTACCTCCTTGAATGACTAATGGGAAATAATTTCCTGCGTGGAATTAGAAGTCAATAAGATTATTGAAGCTTTGTTCATGCTTTAGTATACACCTGAATTCCAATTTTAAATTTCATGTTTGAATGCTGACCTAGGGGTTCGTTTTTTGCTTTCAGCTAGAGGATAACCAACTGGTGGTGAGACTAGAGCCACTGACCTGGCATTTAGCAAGAGCACTGGTGGATTTCGCTCAAACCTTCAACTGGAATTTCATCATTGTGCTCTACAATGAGCATGCACCTGGTTCCAAACCCCTCCTCTCGGAAATCAAACGTCTACAGGTTGAAAGAAGCAAACGATTTCATCCCAATTTTTATGAGTAAGTTTACTTAGTAATGCAAAAAAATCAATAGCAATGCTCAATTTATTACCATGAAAAAATAATTTTGATAGGCGTTGTTCATATAATTAATAAATCTTAAGCGTCTAGCAGGTAGTATAAAAATGTACTGAAATGGGTGGGTGAAAGCGAAGTGTGAATTTTGTCTTTCTTGTGCCTTATTTGAGCTATGAAAACTCTGATTTCAACATGCAATTTACAAACGAGTCAAACCTCAACATTCATTATTAGTTTCTCGAGTTTCAAACTGAATAATTAA